TGTGTGTGTGTGTGTGTGTGTGTGTGTGTGTGTGTGTGTGTGTGTGTGTCCAGAGCGCCATCGTGAGGTCAGTCTGTGCTTCTTTTTTCTCTGTTTTGAATCTAATTGTTGGGATACATTTTTCACTTATAATTTATATTTGTATTAGTGGTGATTGTGATATTGTTCCACCCTCCTTTAGTGTCTTTATACATTAAAAAGTACAGTTTTACTTTTGAATATCTTCCATCTGACTCTCTCTGCGGTTAAGAAGACTCGATGTGAATATGGTCATACATGTAACTAATAGATATCAACATGAAGCTCTCCCAGTTGATTATTACAAGTTTTCTGAGATTCTACTTTTAAATATACAAATGGAGCATTATCTTATCAAAGATGTGCTAACATGAGATAAAGCCAGAGTCAAACTTCCTGCTTTATGTTGTTGACATATTAGAGTCAAAGGTTTTTACGGAAGGAATTATGGATATCTCTTTTTAATCACACCATGAATCAGAAAATACTGTCAACAAACAATAAAGAGCTGCTGAAGTGGAGTCTGAGAAAAAACTCATTTAGAGAAAACGTGCATACCAGGTGTCAACATGGTCACTTCCTGTTCACTGGTTGCAGAAAAAAGATGGGGACAGCAAAATTGCCAAACTCGAGGCTTCAATGGATGACTGCGTCCACTTCTTATATACAGTCTATGGTTTCCACCCACAATCCTTTGCGCAGCAGATATATGAGCAAGAGGGTCAAAGTTGCAGGTGCCATGTTAAGAGGAAGTAGTTTGTCCTGTTTGAATTCTGCATAAAACAAGATGAAATCTTTTTGTATGAAATCTGGAACGCAGCTTGAGTCTGTTTGTGTCCGAGCACTTCGCCTCCAGGCCAGGAGGAGGCGATGATGAGCTGGACTGTGATCACATCAGAACTCACCTGAGGTCCGAGAGGTTTTCAGGCGGAGGTGAAGCTTCTTCCAACTGGAGAAAAATCAATGATTCGTCAAGACTCAACTCCTGTTGATTCTTCTTCATCACACGACAGGAAATCTTCTTCTTCAGGTTAGTGAACACACACACACACACACACACCCACACACACACTGCAGTTTAGTCTGACTCAATCACGCACACAAATACTCACTGGAGCACCAAAAAGCACTAGTTCCAAAACAAATGCACTATCTTCTCCTGTTTGTTTGTTTGACAATAAACTACAACAACCAGCTGTTTTTAAACATGAAAGTACTTATTTGGTCATATTGGTCATTTATAAATACATTCTATATAAAAAGCTTCAGTTTCCAGTTTCAGTCCATCCAGACATTTAAAAACAGCTGATTATTATTGTGCGTGTGTGTTTGTATGTTTGTGTGTGTGTGTTTGTGTGTTTGTGTGCGTGTGTGTTTGTGTGTGTGTGTGTGTTAGCAAAAGCCAGTTTTGATCAAGCTTTTGCTGCCACCTGCTGCCGGCAGGATGAACATCACAAATGATGCATCCAAAAAATAATTATATGAGTTCAAAATAAAAAGTATATATATATATAAACTACATCTATAAAAAATACTTATCATTAAACAGTGCTAGTGACAAAGCCCGATAGATGTACACATACTGAAATAATAAAAAGATTAAGATACACTAAAGTATGAGATGTGTAACAGAGACATCATTAAAAGAAATGTTGTTTACTTTAGTACAAATATATAAAATGAGACTAGAAATTAGCTTGATGAAATATATAACTATATAATACACTGCTCACACTGCTCACAAGGGAAGGTCCTTGTATTTCAGTGCATATTGCAGCAACGTCAAGTGCTTTATCTTCTCTGTTTAAGGGATGTTTTCCAAAAAGACATTATATACCCAGAATGTATTTCAAAGCAAAAATCTGTTAGCAATTCCAAACTATTTTTGTGATGTTTTTTTATAACACAGAATCAAACGGATTGGAGAAAATAAGAGAGGAGAGAAAATCACAAAGAAATAGTTTCAGATATGCAGAAAAATATGTTTTATTAAAGAACCAATGTTGTTTATTAAAGGATTCAACCAACTTACTGCAAATCACGCCTGATATACAATCACTGCTGATATAAAATCACAAATCACACCTGATATAAAATCACGCCTGATATAAAATCACGCTTGATATAAAATCACGCCTGATATAAAATCACAAATCACACCTGATATAAAATCACTGCTGATATAAAATCACAAATCACGCCTGATATAAAATCACTGCTGATATAAAATCACTGCTGATATAAAATCACGCCTGATATAAAATCACACCTGATATAAAATCACGCCTGATATAAAATCACAAATCACGCCTGATATAMAATCACTGCTGATATAAAATCACAAATCACRCCTGATATAAAATCACTGCTGATATAAAATCATGCCTGATATAAAATCACTGCTGATATAAAATCATGCCTGATATAAAATCACRCCTGATATAAAATCACAAATCACACCTGATATAAAATCACTGCTGATATAAAATCACAAATCACACCTGATATAAAATCACTGCTGATATAAAATCACAAATCACGCCTGATATAAAATCACACCTGATATAAAATCACAAATCACGCCTGATATAAAATCACGCCTGATATAAAATCACTGCTGATATAAAATCACAAATCA